CCCAGCCCAAAAACCTACCCGCCCAGCTTACCTCAACCGCCTAACCCGTTCGTCCACCCACTTTGTTTGATAAATAATTAACCATTGAAAGTTAAAGTGGTATATTCCTCTCATTTTTTTGGGTGAGGCTATTCACACCCCAAAAATATTCATTCTCACCTAATTTAATTTTTTATCATCAAACTATTAAGGGTGTGTTTGTTAACTCAAATTTAGCACTTAAATTTAATGTATTCAGCACTTATTAATTAAATTCGTTTGATAACTAAAATTTAAACTCTCTTAATATGTTAAGTACTCCTTAAAAATAGGCTACAATTTTAAGTATGAGATCCCTTACTTAAAATTAAAAGCACTCTGCAAAATTATTTTTAATAATATTTGCAATATGACAATTATACCTAAAATTTTTTACAATCATATTAAAACTCTAATTAGTCTTCTCTTCAAAATCCCTAACCTATATATTCTCCTTGTCAATATATTTTTTATTTTTTTTTCTTTCTCTTGTCTTCTATAACAAAAATATTCATAAATAATTATAATTACATATACAAACACACGCGCACTNCAAAAATATTCATAAATAATTATAATTACATATACAAACACACGCGCACTGCACATACAATTACATACAGACATATGCACTGCACACACACATACTTACACACACACAGTGCGCACACATATTGTTAATGAAATCTAATTTATTACATTTTTTCAATATTATTTGATTATTTATTAATTATAATTATTTTTTTTATCAGATGTTATTGTTCACTTATTATGTTATTCAATTTGTTATTGTTCACTTTTCGTGTTATTTATTATTTATTTATTTATTTATTTTGATTAAATATTTGTTCAATGTAGACTACAAATATAATAATAGTTATAATGATTTATTTTATAACATATTTTATAAATACTTTCAAATTAAAGAGTGAAAGGGTAAAACTGAAAATTAATTTATTTTCAAACGACAACTCTGTGTAATTATCAAATAATTTAGTACTTAAATTTCAGTGAATACTAAACAGTTTATAAATTCAGCATTCAGCTTTCATATTTCAAACTTCAGATTTCAATTTTCAGTTTTATCAAACACTACCAAATCCACCCCTTTTTTACACTCCCCATTAATAACTAAATACATCGCATGGTATATGCACCCTTTAATATGTAAGAAAAGAAAACAAAAAAGAAAAATCTATCAAAACTCAAAAACAAATAAGAAAAAAATTTAAGAAATGACAAAATAAAGAAAACAAAGGAATAAATATGTTGCCAAAAAATAGAAAACGAAACAAGATTTCTAATTCACAAAGCTATATCGCAAAAGCTAATTCACAAAATGACATAAGCTTTTATACACACACACACATATAAACCCTAAGTAAAAAATTATTATAATACCAAAACACAACAAAAATAATAAAAATCTATACAGTACACGTGAAATAAAAAATAGAATTATATCGATAAATAATAGTAACTTGTATCTCATTGAGAAATCCATATTGAAAAAGTGTTTTGTGAGAATATGAGATGAGATAATGTATGAAACTCTAATTTTAAGAAAAAATAAAGTGAACTTATTTATTCAAAAGATGTATATAGAATGAAATGAATTTAGTTATTAATAGGGTGAATATAGAATGAGTGGATTTAATAGTTTGATAATAAAAAATTAAATGGAGTGAGAATAGAGATTTGTTGGGTAAAAATAGTTTTACACAAATTTTTTTATTTACTTAACTATTAAGTTGAGTAATTTAAGTATATTATTCATTATTTATTATTTACTTAAATACTAAATAATTACTCTCAAATAAAATTATTTATTATTTATTTTTTTGTACATTTTAACTTTATTTTTAATTTAAAAATATAATTTACAAAAATACTATGTTAAAAAATGTATATATATATAAAAAAAAACCCATACAGTGAGTAAGAAATTGAGTTACGGATAGTCTACTCATACCCAAAGCCCAACCCACCTAATAGCTCACCGGGTAAGGTCTTGGGCTATCCAGCCCCAGGCCTAAAAAATTTNTACCCAAAGCCCAACCCACCTAATAGCTCACCGGGTAAGGTCTTGGGCTATCCAGCCCCAGGCCTAAAAAATTTTCACGGAGTATATATATACAGTCAATTCAGTGATCCCCGGTAAAGATTGAACAACATTCCCAATCATCAAAGCCAAGGCCGTTTCTCTCTTCTTCCTCAATTCACCAACCATGGAAGCCCTAACTTCAACCATCGTCTCTTCTCCTTCTTCCCTCCCCATCTTCTCTCCCAAATCCAAAGATCCTTCGTCAAGAAGACTCCTCCGATTCTCCACCTCTCCCAAAAGTAAGCTCTCTCTTCATTTCCATTTTTATTCTCAATCTTTTGATCCGTTCCTAATTCTAACACCTCTTCTTTGGATTCAGATAACGGTAACGAATCCGATCTCCGGTCCGACTCAAATGGTTCAAGCATCGTACCGAGCCACAGCAATCGCACTCTCTCTCAGGTATTTGAATCAAACAATTTATTCCCTAAGCCTTTCTTCGTAGAGGACGAAATGGTGACCTAGGGTTTTTTTGATATTAAGCTTTTTTGGGAATTTTCAGGATGCCGCGATGGGCTTGGTTCTGAGTGCTGCGAACGTGAGGGGTTGGACTACAGGTTCAGGCATGGAAGGCCCTTCAGTCCCCGCCGGTGCTGAGTCGGGGTCAATTGCAGAACAGACGTCCACCTTCCCCTGGTCTCTCTTCACCAAATCACCTCGTCGCCGTATGCGCGTGGCCTTCACTTGCAACGTATGTGGTCAAAGAACCACTCGCGCCATCAATCCCCATGCCTACACCGATGGCACTGTTTTCGTCCAGGTATATGTACCCGCATATGTAGAATGTCTCTTCTGCACTGCTTTCTTTCAGATATTGGTTATAATTTGTTTGTTCTTTTGTATTTTTTTTAATTGTAGTGTTGTGGATGCAATATATTTCATAAGCTGGTGGATAATTTAAACTTGTTTCATGAGATGAAATGCTATGTGAATCCCAGCTTCAATCCGAAAGGTGGTGACATTCGCTTCAAGTATCTTGACATGGATGATGACAACAATGATATTTTCCCCCTCTTATGAGGTGAAACGATTATTGAAAAGAATTTCTGAGTGCAGTGTACATTCTATTGCTCACACCTACAGTACCATTTCTAATTGTGTACATGTAAATAGGTTTGCAACAATTGATGTATTTTTATATTGAAGTCATTTTGATGTGGAACGTTTAAATATTTTTGTGCTTTAGTCTATTTGTATAAGAAGTTGATTACATCTCTGTTGGTGTGCATTTTGTGGTGATGTTCTATGTTGTGTAGGATTCTGTGTAATGTTGTTGATGAACTGCTGTCTGGTGTGTGACTTGTCTAGTTGCAATTTTAGGTGTGAATCTGATTGTAGTGCACCCCAGAGACCAGTTTTGCAATTTGTCTATCTACTACTGACTTTGTACATGGTAATGATTGCTTAGCAATTAGAGAAAATGGAATAGTTCTTGTCAAAACAAAATCATCGTCGGAATTGGTGGAATGCTCTTCAACATGTGTTGGGCCTGGTTTATAATAGTTCTTCAGTCACAAACACAACATCCCTCTTCCTATGGCTGGGACTCCCTTCTTCTTCTCCATTCAAAATGTTTTGGCAACTATTCGGTTATAGAAATCTGAATAGGTCTATATCGATCAGATAAAATTCCTTGGGTTGATCATTGTCTATTGTTTTATTCAGTTGAAGTAATTGCATTGGGGCAAGATTGCAATATCCCACATTTCTTGGTATCTAAAGGCTGTTAATTACTGGCCAAAAAAAGCAGTCAGTTGTAAAGGTTGTTTTTGGTATTTTTTCCTTCAGTTTAAGTTTCTTACAGTATGAGAAGTCTCCCTTTTTCTCTCCCACCATACTCTCTCTCTCTCTNCGCACATTCAAGATAACAAATTAAGAGGGGTTTTGGAATATTAACAGGGCATTGAAATACATAAAGAACCAAATTTATCTGATATTGTTACTTATTTAACGAAAATAATTACTAAATATGTATAATAATAATGTGATTTGTCTGAGCCAAATGTGTTTGAATTGAAACCCTAGTTCATCAAATCAATGATCAACAAAGTGACACGTTATGGGACAAAGATAAAAAAAAAACGATTTGAAAATTTTTAACTTAGTTGGATCTTTGGACTAAATTTGCTTAAATGTGAAACCTTGTTTTCCACAAGAAGATGATGGATGGACAGTCATGAAAGGAAAAAAAAATAGAGCACTACAGATTTTGAATTGTGATAAGATATTGTTTCCAGTCGATTTTGAATGTTTTTTGCCAACTAAAAATTTTATTTTTTTAATTTATAGCGTAATTTTCATAAGATTTTATTGTTAGTAGTTGGATTGCCAGTGCGGTTAGAACATCTCCAATCATTACTCTAATTTTTACTCAAATTTAAACTAACATTTGAGTAAAAAATTTAATTTGATACAAAGGGTTCTAATTAACAAATTCAAATTTAAAAAAAAAAAAGAAACTCAAATTTAAAAGATGATCATTGAATCTTTAAAATATGATAAAATCTTACCATTAAATATTTAAGTAAAGATTTGAGTCTCCTTTAATTTGGTATAAGTTTGAGTTAAAAATTGGAATAATTTTTTTGAACTTTTTTTATTCAAATTTAAATTTGAATCTAAATTTGAGTAAGAGTTAAATATACTTTTTATATAAAGCGAAAACTTGTATGTCATAGGGGCTTCAAAGTTTTCTTACTATTGTGTGTCCTTAATTAGGACTATTAATCAAGTCAAGTTTCATAAGTTTGAGCCAGAATTTGTCGAGTTAATTTTTATAAATAAATATAAAAAATTATTCAAATTCGATTTATTTAAAAATAAACCGAGCCGAGCCGAGCCAAGCAAAATCCAAGTAACTCGAGCCCCAAGCTATACCTGAACCAACGCTTGTCTTTATTAGCTCAAAAGTCTATTTCCCTGTACCGACTACTGAAAATTTTTTGACCTTTTCAAAAAATCAGAAGGCCCACACAGGCCCACAATGGATCTATGCTCACAAAATAAATTCGGAATACCTACAACTATAATTATTCATTAATTAGATCATCTGTAATTTCAACTCAAATTTAAATTAATAATTGACAAAAAAATTTAATTTGATTCAAAATACTTAAATAGACAAATTCAAAATTAAAAGAAGATAAAATTAAAAAAATGAAATACGACCATTATATCTTTTAAAAGAGTAAAATTTGACATTAAAAATTTCAATAAAAATTTAAGTTTCTTTTGAATTTGAGTAAAATATTGGGAGTTATTTTTACTTAAATTTAAATTTAAATAGGAATTTGAGAATAGAAGGGAGGTTGGCTTAAAAATCTGAATTTAAGTCATCAAGAAGGGAATCTCGTCCACATATCCTATGTATATATGGGAGTGTCCGTGGGTCAGGTTGGCCCACCAGATCTGTTTCTCAGCCCAAAATTTGATAGTTGACCAGTTCGAATTCTATCCTAATATCCTTCAAGAAGAGGCCTGGACCTGTGTCCAAGCCCATTATCCAGTCTACAAATCAGGCCCATTAGCCCACTCGTAAAAATCCATTAATTCCCAGCCCAAAAACCTACCCGCCCAGCTTACCTCAACCGCCTAACCCGTTCGTCCACCCACTTTGTTTGATAAATAATTAACCATTGAAAGTTAAGTGGTATATTCCTCTCATTTTTTTGGGTGAGGCTATTCACACCCCAAAAATATTCATTCTCACCTAATTTAACTTTTTATCATCAAACTATTAAGGGTGTGTTTGTTAACTCAAATTTAACACTTAAAATTAATATATTCAGCACTTATTAATTAAATTCGTCTGATAACTAAAAGTTAAACTCTCTTAATATGTTAAGTGCTCCTTAAAAATAGGCTACAATTTTAAGTATGAGATCCCTTACTTAAAATTAAAAGCACTCTGTAAAATTATTTTTAATAATATTTATTTACAATATGACAATTATACTTGAAATTTTTTACAATCATATTAAAGCTCTAATTAGTCTTCTCTTCAAAATCCCTAACCTATATATTCTCCTTGTCAATATATTTTTTGTTTTTTTTTTCTTTCTCTTGTCTTCTATAACAAAAATATCCATAAATAATTATAATTACATATACAAACACACGCGCATTGCACATACAATTACATACAGACATATGCACTGCACACACACATACTTACACACACACAGTGCGCACACATATTGTTAATGAAATCTAATTTATTACATTTTTTAAATATTATTTGATTATTTATTAATTATTATTATTTTTTTTATCAGATGTTATTGTTCACTTATTATGTTATTCAATTTGTTATTGTTCACTTTTCGTGTTATTTATTATTTATTTATTTATTTATTTTGATTAAATATTTGTTCAATGTAGACTACAAATATAATAATAGTTATAATGATTTATTTTATAACATATTTTATAAATACTTTCAAATTAAAGAGTGAAAGGGTAAAACTGAAAATTAATTTATTTTCAAACGACAACTTTGTGTAATTATCAAATAATTTAGTTTAATTTAGTACTTAAATTTCAGTGAATACTAAACAGATTACAAATTCAGCATTCAGCTTTCATATTTCAAACTTCAGATTTCAATTTTCAGTTTTATGAAACACTACCAAATCCACCCCTTTTTTACACTCCCCATTAATAACTAAATACATCGCATGGTATATGCACCCTTTAATATGTAAGAAAAGAAAACAAAAAAGAAAAATCTATCACTACTCAAAAACAAATAAGAAAAAAATTAAGAAATGACAAAATAAAGAAAACAAAGGAATAAATATGTTGCCAAAAAATAGAAAACGAAACAAGATTTCTAATTCACAAAGGCTATATCACAAAAGCTAATTCACAAAATGACATAAGCTTTTATACACACACACATATAAACCCTAAGTAAAAAATTATTATAATACCAAAACACAACAAAAATAATAAAAATTTATACAGTACACGTGAAATAAAAAATAGAATTATATCGATAAATAATAGTAACTTGTATCTCATTAGAGAAATCCATATTGAAAAAGTGTTTTGTGAGAATATGAGATGAGACAACGTCTGAAACTCTAATTTTAAGAAAAAATAAAGTGAACTTAATTATTCAAAAGATGTATATAGAATGAAATGAATTTAGTTATTAATAGGGTGAATATAGAATGAGTGGATTTAATAGTTTGATAATAAAAAATTAAATGGAGTGAGAATAGAGATTTGTGGGGTAAAAATAGTTTTACACAATTTTTTTTATTTACTTAACTATTAAGTTGAGTAATTTAAGTATATTATTCATTATTTACTTAAATACTAAATAATTACTCTCAAATAAAATTATTTATTATTTATTTTTTTGTACATTTTAACTTTATTTTCAATTTAAAAATATAATTTACAAAAATACTATGTTAAAAAATGTATATATATATAAAAAAAAACCCATACAGTGAGTATGAAATTGAGTTACGGATACTCTACTCGTACCCAAAGCCCAACCCACCTAATAGCTCACCGGGTAAGGTCTTGGGCTATCCAGCCCCAGGCCTAAAAAATTTTCACGGAGTATATATATACAGTCAATTCAGTGATCCCCGGTAAAGATTGAACAACATTCCCAATCATCAAAGCCAAGGCCGTTTCTCTCTTCTTCCTCAATTCACCAACCATGGAAGCCCTAACTTCAACCATCGTCTCTTCTCCTTCTTCCCTCCCCATCTTCTCTCCCAAATCCAAAGATCCTTCGTCAAGAAGACTCCTCCGATTCTCCACCTCTCCCAAAAGTAAGCTCTCTTTTCATTTCCATTTTTATTCTCAATCTTTTGATCCGTTCCTAATTCTAACACCTCTTCTTTGGATTCAGATAACGGTAACGAATCCGATCTCCGGTCCGACTCAAATGGTTCAAGCATCGTACCGAGCCACAGCAATCGCACTCTCTCTCAGGTATTTGAATCAAACAATTTATTCCCTAAGCCTTTCTTCGTAGAGGACGAAATGGTGACCTAGGG